AATCTAACCCCAACCACTATTTTATCAACCCAAACCAATATATAATTTCGTTTTAATTGTAAAATCTAAACTCTAAGCACTCCTTTATAAACCCAAACCGACATATGATTTTGTTTTAATTGTAAAATCTAAACCCTAAGCCCCATTTATAAACCCAAACCGATATATAATTTTGTTTAATTATAAAATCTAATCCTCAAATATATATATTTAATCATGTTTTATTAAAGGTATACAAATTTTTTTTCCTTATTAAAGATAATTTATTTGTTAAGATAATACATTATTATTTAAATGTATAATTATATTGATCGCGCTAACTCAGTTATCAGCTAACTCATGATATAGGGTTAAAATTGTCCAGAAGAAGCAAAACTAATTATGAAATTATCTTTAACATATAGTGAATTAAAACTTTATTTGGGTATATACAAAACTAACCACGGTTACGGATACGGTCAATACGGTTATGGTTAATTAACCACCAGTTAACGGATAAAATTTTCTCTAACCATAACCTTAATCATTATATATCAGGTTAACTACGGTTACGGTTAGAGTTATTTGATGATTATTATAATATTAATATTGGAGACAAAATCTTATGAAATACTATTTATTTTACAAGTAAAAAATATATGTGATTTCAAATATTTATAGTGAATTAGTAAAATATTGGTATTAGATCAAAACTGAGAAACTCAAAATCAAATACACACAGAAATAAGAATAAAAATAGTTTAGTATGAAATGTTTTGATTACTTACGAGTTCAACTTGTCTGGTTGATTTTAATAAGGTGAAAATTTTATCCAAACATTTGATGTGCTTTTCATTGTATATATACAATTATAATATAATTTATTTGAAGGATTTAAATGTGCGGTTAACAGAGCGTTTAACCGTACGGTTAATATATATTTTATTTAACCGTAACTAATTTACTTGTACAGTTAACGGTTATGTATTTTTTTAACCGTTTTATACGGTTACAGTTAGAAATACAATTAAGGTTAGAACTAATAAGAGTCCACTAACCTTTGCTTTTGGTCATGCCCACAGCTCAAGATCCTTGTGAAGGCATACCTCGAGATAGCAAAGTGGGCACGGACGGGTCATGTATCAACCTTCGATGAGTACATGAAAGTTGGGTATGTGTCAGGTGCAATGGGTGATTTTGCATCGTACAGCTTTATTGGTATGGAAGACATAAATGAGAAGCAATCTTACGACTGGCTCAATTCCAATCCCCTAATCATCAAAAAACTGTCTTTAATGTTCCGTCTATCAAATGACGTAGGATCCTACGAGGTACACACACTACACATCAAAGAGAATCTCTTTAGTTCTTACATGTGATTTTGTTTTCTTGTTTTAGTCCTCCTCGTGAATATTTATTTTTGCAGACCGAGATAAGCAGAGGAGAGGTTGCTAATGGACTCAACTGTTACATGAAACAATATGGAGTCACCAAGGACAAAGCATCCCAAGAGTTGCGTAAAATGTACAGAGACCACAAAAAAGTGGTTATTGAGGAGTTCATGAACTTACATGATGACCATGTCCATGTGCCTCGCCAGGTTCTGCTTCGATGCCTCAACTTTGCACGTATCTTCGATGTTTTCTACACAGAGGGTGACGGATTTAGTGAACCCAAAAGCAAAACCCAACACTTTATGACCTCCTTGTACGTTCACCCAATACCCATTTCATAATGACGTGGAACACACACCACCAATTCTATGTTCATCATAATGAAGAAGTTTTATGACTATGTTTATCCCATCTAAGTTCATTCGGGAATATTTTCGTGGGTTCTGTTACTTAAGGTATGACTAGCTTTGAGAACAGTTACATTGACGATTTTATTTCAGACAATTCTCTGTAATCCCTATTAAATGCATCGTATCTCCACTAAGAGCATCTCCACCAAAGTATTTTAAACTGTTGCTCTTTATTAAAATTATCACAATTGTGAGAAAAAGTTTGGATAGAGAGAAACGTTGTTTCTTTAAACTGCTTAAGAAACGTTGCTCAAACAAGTGTCAGCAATCTATTGGTTCTATTATTTTTTAAAAATTATTTAATTAAAATATAATTACTTAATTATTTTTGGGAAATTGTGTGTATGTCTACCACAGATGATGGTCTAAGGTTGTATGCTTAATCTGCAAATTAATTATTGAATCGTACTATCTCTATGTCGAATCCTAGACCTCATGGCATTAAAATTTGTAATTTTATAAAACTTATTAATTATTTCAAATTAAAAAATTTAAAACATATATGAGAAATTAAGAATAACCCTAGTATTAATTTTCCGTTTCTTGTAAATCAAACATAATAAATTGCTTAATTTTCTAAAAAAAAATTAACTTTTGAATTTTATTCATCTTTGAAAAAATGATAAATTATAAATCGCTGAATAAGAATTTATGTGATAATAATCATGTACAATGTAATTGCATAAAAATTACAATTATAATATTATTATGTATATAATAACGTAGAAGAAGCCAGATGAATGTGAAGTAGAAGAGGACAAGTTCAGCTTTGGACAAAGAGACATGCGATTGTCTAAAAGAGAGAGAGAAGAAGAAGCTTTTTTCTCACTTTTTTTTCTTTTCTTCTTCGACCACTAAGAAAATGACACGTGCGCACCACTCTTGACCAAGGAACGTTTCTTATCATTTAGCATTATTAATCATTTAATTTAAATCATCAAAATATGTAAGAAACAAATAAGACTCCCCCGTTAATCATGGTCTTAGGGGTAAGATACCCTCCAATAAGGATGCCTTAGAGCAAGATTATCAAGGGAATCTTAAATTTTAATCTTAGCATTAGTTTAATAATAAATTTAAAAAAGTAAGATGAAAAAGTTGTTTTTGTGATTTTAGTTTTGAGAAATCTTTATTGGTAGATTCTTAGTTTGGGGATCTTACAGAAAAAATATTTATTTAAAAACTAAATTAAATTAAATTTGTTATTTTAGAAAATTTTATAATTATTGCAAATTTAAACTTTTAAAACATACATAAGATACAATTTTCTAACATAAAGTACAATAGTAGTAAGTTTGTAAGAACAAAAAAAATATGAAATTGGTGTAAAAATAAATGTAAAAACTTGAACTTAAAAGAAAATGATTAAAAATATAAAAAAATTCATTTAGAGAGGGAGAAAGAGAGAAGAAGAGAAAGAGAGAGAAAGAAAAAGAGAGAGAGAGAGAGCGAGAGAAAAAGAAAGAGAGGGAGAGAGAGGAAAATGAAATAATTGTTTTTTTTCTTTTTTAACAACATTCAATAAAAAGCTGCCACGTCGACGTATCTTATCACCCTATGTGTATCTTAAGCAAGATACGTCTGTTACATAATAATGCTGATTTTGATTTATTTTTTTTATCTTAATTCATCTAAGATCTGTGTAAGAATCGCCCGATAATGATGGTCTTAAGATACTAGTAACGAGGATGTTCTTAGATAATCTATATATATAAAGTTAGCTTTTTCTCTCTTCTCATGATGCCACCTAATCATCCACTTAAGCCATATTTTTGTTTTTACTTTAAAATAAATTTTAAACATTCATTTAGTGCATATTTATGTTACTTCTATTAGTAGTTTATATTAAAAAAATATGTAAAATAAATGAAATGTTAAAATAAGAAAAAATTACTTTGTTTTTATATTACTGGTAATAATATAATTCAACTATCATTTTAAATTGATCATAGTTTAAAATTTTAAATATGTTATTGAGTTTTAGAATGAAAGTAAATTTTAAATTTATGGTACGTAAAATAAAACAACATTTATGTAATTGTATATATATAATTATAAAGAAGAAAAATAAAATTGAAAGTGAAATATTAGTTTATAACATGATCTAAAAGAAATAAAATGATATTTCATAAATTGAATCAAATGCTTTTAATCAAAATTTGAGTATTGAAAGATAATAATTAAAGAGAAAATAGTTATACTATTTTTTGAAAATCAATTAAAAAAAGACAGTAAAATATCATAATATGAATAAAAATTTAACAAAACAAAATTATTAACCTCCCGCGCGGAGCGCGGGTCAACTGCTAGTATATATATAAAGTTACATTTCCTCTCTTCTCCTTCCGCCACATCAGCGCCACATCATCCACTACATCATCAACTTTTTAAAACTTTTTTATTAATAATCTCAAAAGGGCATGGACTTTAGACCCAAGGCCCAACAGCTACACAACAATCAAACCGGTTAAAGAAGATTGAGAAAACTTCGGATACACAAATTTGGAACTTGATAGTTAAACATCGGATACAACAATTAAATCGGTTAAAGATAGATCGGAAGACATCTACTAAAACCTGCTGTTTACAAGAACAACTCCTTTGCAGCTATGCACCGATTTTGAAACCATTGACCAGAGTACACATATTCCAGAACATCTATCATGGAATAGATCAAACCCACACACCGGAAACATTATCTCTCTAATCCCATACCTAAAAAAAGAGAAAATACCGTAGAAACTTGCCCTCGACCTCTCGCGAATAGCAAATAACAATAAACATTTTTAATATTAAACTAATACAAAATTGAAAAAGAAAAAAACAATCCATATGGGAATAGAATAACAAAAATGGCAACACTAAAAAACCAAAAAAAAAGTTAAAAACAAAAAATCATAATATAAATTATAAACCTCCCGCGCACAGAGCGGATCAATAACTAGTTTATTATAATGTTTAGAAATTTATTATAATGTTTAGAAAACACTAAAATTTATTAGAATTGAATCAGTTGATAGGTGTCTATGTTTTTAACATTTTTTCCCCTTAAAATGGGCTTTGAAATAAATTTAAGACTAAGGTCCAAACTTGGCCCAATTGAAAAGAGCTCTCCCGATACACCACCGGAGTCAATTACAAATTCCCTCCGGCGAACCTTCCAGGACCTTCTAAAGTCCTAATTCTCACGACTCCATCACTTCATCACTCCAAAATTGAGATCAACTTCACGACGAACTAACACCAATGGAGCAATCGGCTGCTCCTCCACAACCTCCGTCGATGCCGTTACCATATCTTCCAAGCTCCGTTCAAGCTTCGAGAGATGACCTTCAATGTATCGGAACTATGGAGATCGTCCGGCCAAAACCAGTCGGTTTTCTCTGTGGCTCCATACCTGTTCTCGCCGATAACTCGTTTCCGGCGTTTACTTCAGCTCTCCTCCCTTCTCAGGAAACGTTTGTAACATTTCTCTTCTTCTTCTTCTTCATATAACGCCTCTGCTTGCAATTTATTTGAAGCTTTTTTCGTAATTTGTTGCAGCGTTACTGCTCCGAGGTATCAGATGCTTCCGATGGAGACAGATCTTAATCGGCCTCCTTTGTTGACGGATTTTCCCGATAATGTTTTGCCTCTCGCCGCCGTCAAGTCTAGGATCACCGGAGGTATGTTTATTTTTTTCTCCTTGGTTGAAATTTCACGATTAGGTGAACATTGAACAGAGAGACTTGAACGATAGTGATGTTAGTGTTCTAGTTCTACTTGTGGCTTTTGATTAGTCTAATTTGTTTTTGTATGTTAAAGGTTGGTGTGGTTATGGTGTTTTCATTTGACAGATATATCTAAGGAGGCTAATGTTATTGCTTCGAATCTAAGCAAGAAATGTGAAGCCCTTGCTGTGTCGGGTTTAGTGGAATATGGGGATGAGATAGACGTGATTGCTCCTGTTGATATTCTTAAGCAAATCTTTAAGATACCTTACTCGAAAGCTCGGGTATCCATAGCAGTTCAGCGGGTTGGACAGACTCTCGTATTGAACCCTGGGTGCGTTCTTTATTTATTTCGGTTCTTTTAAATTGTGCGATTTTCAATGAGTAAGTCTTTATGCTGGGAATTTTTCTTGTGTGATGCAGACCTGATGTTGAAGAGGGTGAAAAACTGATTAGGAGGCATAACAATCAACCCACATGTACAAAAAACGTGGATGAATCTTTGTTTCTAAACTTTGCTATGCATTCAGTGAGGATGGAGGCATGTGATATTCCGCCAATGCATCGCCCACATACAGAGAAACACTCAAGTTCGTCTGCTCTACCTGCGGGAGAGAACTCTCATGGGCTACAACAGAATTGTGATAGTTCTCCAGACAACAGACTTGACAACCCTGCAGGGGGTAGTAAACAGTCTAAACGGGATGGTTTCATTTGTCAAAATAAGAAGAGCAAAAAAACCAAGGCACGTGAGCCGGTAATAAAAAACACTCAAATCAGTGAAAAGACCAAGCCTTCCGGAGACTCTGAAAAACATAGAAGAGGTGGGAACAACGAATTTTTAAGAGTTCTATTTTGGCAATTCCACAACTTCCGCATGCTTTTGGGAAGTGATCTACTTCTGTTCAGCAATGAAAAATATCTGGCTGTAAGCTTGCACTTGTGGGATGTTAGCGAAAAGGTAATTACTGTTAAACTCTTAGTGTTTCTGCTTTTTCACCTTTTCTGTAGACTTTCTTAATGTTCGCTCTCCACGCAGGTTACACCTTTAACCTGGCTTGAAGCTTGGCTTGATAATGTAATGGCTAGTGTTCCCGAGTTAGCAATTTGCTATCATGAGAACGGTATTGTCCAAGGGTATGAGCTTTTGAAAACAGACGATATATTTTTACTAAAAGGTATCGCTGAAGATGGTACACCTGCCTTCAATCCTCATGTTGTTCAGCAAAACGGTCTCACTGTTTTAAGGTTTCTTCAATCAAATTGCAAAGAGGATCCTGGAGCTTATTGGGTAATGTTTTAATTTTCTGTGAAATTGTTATATCATTGCTCTGAATCTTTTTTTGCTCATGTCATTACGTACTCATAATGATTTGGTTATGTTTACTTCAGCTCTACAAAAGCGCTGGTGAAGATGTGCTTCAGCTCTTTGATCTTTCCATTATTTCAAAGAACCATTCAAGCGTTCATAATGACAGTGCAAGCTCATTACCATCTTTTATTCATAGTGGGAGAAGTGATTCTATGTTTTCTTTAGGAAATCTTCTTTACCGTGTTGGTCATAGGCTTTCTTTGTCAGTGGTAAGGAGGCCGAGCATTAGTCGTCATGTAACATCATTAACAACTTAACTGCCATTTTCTGACACTTTGCATCTTTTGCAGGTGCCAAATGATAGGAACAAGTGCGCTAGGTTCCTAAGACAATGTTTAAACTGCTTGGACGGGCCTGATCATATGGTATTGGTCGTTAAAAGTTTTTTTTTAATATCAGTGACCTGTTTTCTCTTTAAAATTTTGATGGGTACTCATTAGTAATACCATTCTGGTAGGTTGTGCGGGCGTATGCACACGAGCAGTTTGCAAGGCTCATTCTGAACAGTGACGAGGAATTTGATTTGACTTTTGAGTCTAATAGTGTGCAACGTGAAGTCACAATAACAGACCTAGAGGACGAATCGCTTGATCCTGTTACTATTATTGACCATGAAAATGAGGCAGTGATTTTCTCAGAGGAAAAGTTCACTGAATATTGCTCAGTTTCTACTATAGCGCCTTTGATATCTGTTAAACCCAAGTTGGAAGCAAATGTTTCACCTTGCAATGAACTCTTACATTCAGATAATCAAGACTCCCATAATACTGAAAGCTCTGCAGTGAACACCAGTTCAGATACTAGTTGCGATCTTGGTCCGGTATGCCAAACCACAACTAGTCTGATCTCATCTAAGATAGCAGCAGTAAACCATGTTTCTCAAGCTATAAAGTCTCTGAGGTGGACACGTCAACTACAATCTTCAGAACAGGAGGATTCATTTCACGATATGCTGCCTGATTTTTCCAAGTGTGCATGTGGTGATCCTGATTGTATTGAGGTTTGTGATATCCGTAAGTGGCTTCCAACATCTAAACTAGACAGGAAATTGTGGAATCTTGTACTGCTTCTCGGCGAGTCATATCTGTCTCTTGGGGAAGCTTACAAAGAAGATGGACAATTGCACCAAGCTCTGAATACCGTGGAATTAGCTTGCTCGATTTATGGATCAATGCCCCAGAAGTTTGAGGAGACATTGTTTGTTTCCTCGATGAACAAGTCTCTTTCATTGCAGTCAAAATCACAAGCAACAACCCCAGTGGAAGATTTAGGAGAAAAATCAGGGCCTTGTGATATCAGTGTCAGTGAACTTTCATCAACACGCCTATTCTGGGCTAAAGTATGGATGTTGGTTGGCGACATATATGTTGAGTTCCACATTCTTAAAGGTCAGGAGCTCTCAAGAACAAAGGGGACATCAACCAATCATTTGAAAATGCCGTCAGAAGTAGTTAAGGAAGTACAGCGGCTCAAGAAAAAGTTAACTGAGTATAGTCAAAATTGTGCCTCGTGTTCATTAGTAAATTGCAGCTGTAAGAGTGATAGAGCAAGCAGTGGAAGCAGCGCAAGTAGCAGCAGTAGCAGCAATGGAAGTAGTACTCGTACTGTGGCTCATAGCAGGAAGCACAGTCGAAAATTACAGTCCAAGAATGTCACCAGCAAGCTCTCACAGAATGTTGAAGATGAACGTGTCAATTTCAAAGTTGAGAACACGAGCCATAAAGAAGAAAAAACATCCAAGGGAACGAAGGAAACTATTCCTGTGGAGCAGAACGAAGTCAACTCTAAAGGATCCCCAGGAGCAAAAAAGGGCGGAATCTTCAAATATCTTAAGTTGACCAAGACTGATGATGCAGAAAGCAATCTGTTGGCTGCCTTAAATTGTTATGAGGAAACTCAAAGAGCATTACAGGAGCTTCCAAGCAGCTGTAATGAGTTGCAATCTGTTCTTAGAAAGAAAGGGTGGGTATGTAATGAACTTGGTCGGAACCGTCTAGGGGGCAAAGAGCTCAACAGAGCTGAAGACGTTTTTGCTGATGCTATAGTCGCATTCAAGGAAGTTTGTGATCATACTAATGTTATACTAATCAACTGCAACTTGGGACACGGGCGACGAGCTTTGGCTGAAGAAATGGTTACAAAGACGGAAGCTCTCAATCTTCATCCAGCTTTTAAAAATGCTTACCAACAAGCTTTGGGGACTGCAAAACAAGAATACAACAAGTCACTTAGGTATTACATGGCAGCAAAGACAGAACTCAGTGTTGCCACAAAAGAGGCTAGTTCAGTTCCAGACAATCTGAAAGTTGAAGTCTACACACAGCTTGCCCATACATATCTCAGATTTGGAATGCTTTTAGCAAGCGAAGATACAACTCCTGCAGATCGAGAACAGAAAAGCATTCTAGATAACACTCATGATTCTTCTTCTGATGGAATATCCAGGAAATTGAGAAAACATGATGTATTATCAGCCAGCGATGCCATAAGAGAGGCTTTGGCTTTATATGAATCTCTCGGGGAAATTCGCAAACAAGAAGCCGCATACGCGTACCTTCAGTTAGCACGGTATCACAAAAGTTGCTGCTTGAGGTTTTTGGAGCGTCAAGGAAGTTCTCCTAAACCCGAAACCAACGTCATCCAGAGAGCCAAACAGTACTCTTTGTTGGCAGATAGAAATTGGCAGAAATCAATGGACTTTTATGGTCCCGAGAATCATCCTTCGATGTTCCTTACGATCCTGATAGAGAGATCGGCTCTTTCCTTCAGCATTTCAAACTTTTGGCAATTAAATGCTGTAAGTGCTTAACTCCCTCTATCTTGATATGTTCTTTCTGATTCACCATATATATATTCTAAACTTCTCTTGTTTTTTTGCTTAAGATGCTTGAGTCAGCTTTGTCTCGCTTGCTCGAAGGCCGTTACATCTCTAAAACATATGCGGAATCTTTAAAAACCGAGGACCCGAAGCTTCACACCAAATTCTGGGCTCAACTGCAGATGGTTCTAAAGCGAATGTTGGCTTTATCACTACCAGCAGAAGGAGCAAGCAAGTCTCAGACCTGTGGAAGATCCGAAGACTCGAGAAAACTAAGAGAACTATATAAAGCATCCCTCAAGTCAACAAACCTTGGTGACTTGAACGCTATCCATGCCTTGTGGACATCATAATCTCAACTAGGTAATGTTCTCTTCTCTGCAATTTTTTCTGACAACATTGATAACTTTATTTTGTACAACTGATGCCTAATATTTTTTTTCATTTTTTCTATATTTTGTAGATAACCTTGTACATTGGTAATGATGCGATTTCGAGACCATCATATATGTAGTATCAGAATTGAAGTTGATTATGTTGTTAGTTTTATTTTAAAGTGTGATTGTGTGAAGTATAAAAGAGTGGTATTTTAAGGTGGTAATGTTCAATTGTTCATGTTCTTGGCGATATTATAAATTTTATATCATAATACTATGTTTGTAATTCGGCTATACAGTCATTTCATGACCATACAAATTCTAGTAAACGGTACTAATAGTAAAGAAACAGAGAGTAAACTTTATGGGCCATCCGACTTCAGCATACTTGTGAATGAGCTAAGCCCATTTATATATTTCCGTATTCTTTTGGGTATCTAACTTGATTATAAACATGTGAAATACAAACACTGTAGAAAGAATTTTGAGTAAGTTATGTTGCATGTTTGTTTCAGGTAAACTTGACATACATATAAACTCAGAACTGACGAGAAACAGAGTAATTGGTTCATTCTGAACAATGTGGTTAGTTCAGTTATGGAACCTGCATTTGTGTTTTCAGAAGATCAGATTAGAAAGACAAATCAACACCTGTCCTCCTCACTCTAGGTTTGCAGATACTAGTGTCTGTTTTGTTGCTCTTGTTCTTCTTGCAGAGAGACACCTTGACGATGATTGTAACGTCTTTCGGTGGATGCGGAGCCAACGAGTTCAGTCGAAGAGCGTAACAAGTCTAAGGGTTACAGAAGCGTTCTCCGGTAGTAAGTCTATTTCCATCAGCCTGGCCGAAGGCAAAAATTATGTGCAATGGTAGAAAACAGCATCAAACTATACATATAAATTCTACTATCGAGGAGAATTTTATTGATCATAGATAGTCAAGAGGAACATACAATTTACCAAAAGCTAGATTAGATTCACAGACTTACCAAAGTCTATAACTATTAACTAAAGAACATAAACACATAGATGACATACCCTATTGCTTTTTTACCTACTCTCATTGTTTTACTCTCTTATACTCTTCTTTTGTTTTCATTCATTTCTTCTCTCTACTCATACCTCTTCCCCGATGTAGTTAAGCTATCATACCTTTTGACAGCAGGCACAACGACTCTTGATATCAGAAACGCTTGACTTGAGTTGCTTTGCATCGTTAAGACCAAGATCCTCTACATAGTCAACAATGGCATAAACTTCGCCACGATCCCTAACTGCTTCAAGCTGATCTCCAAAACCTTGGATTTCAACACTTTGGAGAGTGTTCTTTTTGGGATTGAAGTAGAACACATAGTACGGTTTACTTGTATATTTCATACACAAAACAATATCACCTCTAGCAGTCACTCCAGCAACCGAAAACTCGCAGGAACCAAGGACTTCATTATGCGGAAGAGTGTACACATATTTCACCCATTCCTGTATCTCAACATCCTCTAAAACCGACATACACAACTCAACGCAACGTTCTCCATCAACATCAGCATAATTACAACTAACCACACCTAATTTCCCTTTAGAGTTGACCAAACTCAATCTAGTAGGATGCTGTATATGATCATTAAAGCATGACGCGTCAATAAACTTGAACTCCTCACTCCTAACATCAAAGCGAACTACCACAAAAGACGGCCCAATAAAGGTTACAGCTAAGTAATACAAAACCCCATTGATGCAAATCCCTGCAGCCGAAGAACGATGATACAGATGACAAGAGATATCCTTAGTTCTCCACTCTTCTCCAGATCCTATAGTAAGAATGCTATGCAAATCCAAAACCTTGAATTGCTTATCAATTGGATCAAACCCTAAAAAGCCATGAGACTTACTATACTTCCTGACGTGATACCCAGCATACATTCCAGTGATAGGGTTACAAATCAGAGGCGTATTCACATCAATGATCCTCACAAATGGAATATAAATCAAACCTGAGGCATAGCTACAAGTGAAATCGCTCACATCTCCTGAGAGCTTTGTATGATACTCTAAAGGCAGAGAAGTTTCGTATCGGTTCTGTGGCTGAGGCGCGGAGAAGAAGAACCACTCGTTATGTCGATATCGTTCGATTGCGAATAAGATGCGTGGACGATTCGAGGACTTGGCTTGGAACAGCTTGGTGAAATCTGGACTGCGAAGTGTAGATGCCCAGTACTTTGACAGTGTACGAAACCTTGCGACTGATTTCGATGGCAATCTCGTGAAAATCTCGAGGATTAGATCTGTTGGGAGTGATTCGTTGTTACTTTCTCTTTCCATCAGACTCGCCGGAGTGTGTGTGTGAGAGTGTTTCGCCGGAGAAAGATTCTAGGGATACGACGACGACGTCGACGACGAATGTTGAAATTTGTGCTTTTTTTCCTTTTTCTTACTATTAAATTTATAAAAATCTTAGAAATACTGAAATAGATAAGAGTAAAATTTTATGGGCCTAAAAGGCTTTTATCATATACTTTTGAATGAGCTAGGCCCATTTATTCATTGCGTGGTTTTTTCTTTTTGTTGTCTCACGTGCCAATGGATTCGTTGGTACATACTTGGTAGCTAATACAACTGTAAATTTATGTGAAATACAAAAAGTCAAAGACAGTAGAAATAGATTAGACAAGGGTATTAGCAGCTCTTTGCTCACAATTTAATTTCAAAAAAGAAACAAAAAAAAAAAAGAAAAATAGAGAATCGTTTCTTAAAATGCAACGTCTTTTACTTTGTTTCTTTACTATTCGCGGGCTTCACTGACATGTAGCGGCCCGCTATTGGTTGTTTTTTTTTTAAATCTAAAAATAATAATAAAAGTTAAAATGATTATTTATAAGCACAATTTTTTTAGGGACACCAATGCATATGGTAATGGTCTTAGATTAAGTTTAGTTTTAAGAGTTTCTTTATTTCTACTATCAACTAATCCTATTCATGTAGAGTAGTTGAAACCAGAATTTTCTCTATTGCTATACTTTTTCATGAGAACTTGTTCAACAATGCCACATCAAGATTATGTGATGAGAGTATACTCATGAAATTTTTATGAAAATTGTTTTTCCAAAATATCACTTAACTATAAAACATAATGTCACAAAAAATAAAAATAAATAAATAAACATAATGTCATATAAAAATAGTACGAAGATGATGATTGTATGCTTATCTATGTAGACGTATCGTAAAACTTAATTGTGTTCTTTAGACCTTTTAAAGATATATGAGTTTGGGTATGGTCAAACGATTTACTTTGAGATAGTTTACAGTATAATAAATATCTATATATAGGGACACTTAAGTGTTACTCTTTTTTGGTCACAAATTTATACGACACATTCGTTACTGCTTTAGGACTACATAGCTTCGGACATTCGGGTCCTCGGTTCGGGTTTGGGTAAGAATCGTTCGGGTACGGTTCTTTCGAGTAAGGAGGTTTAGGACCCAATAAGGTAAACATAAATTATCGGTTCGGGTCTTCTCAGGTTCGGGTCGGCTCGGGTGTAATATTTAAAAATTGGAAAAAATCTGAAAAAATCGGGTTCGGTTGTTTTTATACCCGAATACAATTACAGTGTAAAAAATACCCGATATGTATTCATTTACCCGAAAACCTGCAAACTGTCAAGGTTAAGTTCTAAGCAATAAAAACCTGCAAAATTCACATCGACACATCCAAAGAGTACAAATACATAAGAGAGAAAAGATAAAACAATTCATAACAACGCTTTTTAATCATACAACCAAGGAAAATACAAGTTTCTTAACCAAAAAGATGACAATCCAAATCTGATAAAATCAAAATTCAAAACGTAGATATAGTAGTTGGGAACTAGAAACTGGAAACACGTCACACATCCATGGCCATGAGTTTGAATCTGCTGATATCTCATCTCATAAGACCTATTATATTTAAAAACATATCACATATGTAAACTAGTAAAATTGGTAAAGTAATGTAATCAAAATGCATAATGGTAATAGTTGAAACTTGAAAAGAGAGACTATGTTACCTCACTGTTAAAGACTTAAAGTTTTAAAGACCTTGCAAATTAAATTCTGGCTCAAACTCTGTAGAAAATCAAAGAACATTATGTAAGAAATCAAACTTTGTAATTAGAAATACTTGAGTGTTGAGAGATTAAAACAAAAAGGAAAGAATTACCTCTCATAAGATCATCTTGCAACTCAATTTCAGAAAGAAGTTGTTCAATGGTTGAGACTCCTTTCTCATTGATATAAATCTCACATTTCAGCCATTGCTCGGTACACATCAACACTTCTATCATGTAATGTGTTAAACAGCTTCTAGATGAATCCAAAAGTCTACCACTGGTGCTAAATGCAGCTGTTGATGCTACTGAAGACACTTGCATGGCAAGTATATCCTTAGCTATCATCGATAAAATCGGATACTTTCCACTATTGACCTTCCACCATGATAACATATCGTATTATGCGCCTTTTAGAAGCATTACAGACTCCACATCCTCTTTCAAGTACATTTCCAGCTTATTAGATGACTTACGAATCCCAACTTCTTTCACAATATCTTGAAAGATGGAATCCATATCATGCAATCCAACATGATGTGTTCTTTGACTTATATCACTTTCAAACTGATCTTGTGCCTAAGAGCATGATGATTGTGACTGAGAAGATAATCCACTTGTATTCAACAAACTGGCTCTAGTATACTCATCATACAAATCCTTCAAGATATTATTAATTGAATCAGAGAGATAAGAAGACTCTACACTACCCTTCCCATAAAGATGATCGAAACATACTTCAACAAACTTCATTTTCTTCCTTGGATCAAACACACTTGCTACTATTACAAGTCTGTTCATTTCAACCTTGTCCCCAAATGAATCCCAATACTTCTCCAACTTGGTTAGCATTGTTGAGCTTCTCTTATGCAATTCCTCATCATCCCCTGTTGTGCTATATATGGTAAGATTCCTATTGATAGAGTCTATGAGAGGCAACTGAGTTTGAAGCTGAAAGAACTAGTGTAGAATTATAAAATATACCAAGAACCTGAACAAATGCAGAAACTGCATCCAAATCATCTTTCATAGGGGGGCCAACCCTTTTATGTCCATCCACCCTTTCCAAAAAGTAGTCATTATATGGTTTATCTTCTGCCTGCAGCTTCTCAAATGCAACTCTGAACTTTAGAGCTTGTTCTAACATGAGATAGGTAGAATTCCACCTGGTCTTAACATCTAAAGGTAGGCTTCCTCTTTTAACCTTCCCTATTTCAACACAAAAATCAAAGGCCTTGAGTCGATTTGGTGTAGATCTTGCATATTGAATTCCATTGCGAACAGCCGCCACGCTACGATCTATGTCCTACAATCCTTCTTTGAAAACCAGATTCAATATGTGAGCAGCACATCTCAAATGCAAATATTCACCTTTGAGTACCAATGCATCATTTCCATTCCGCTGCATCATTTCTTTCTTAAACATATTCATAACTAAACTGTTGGCAGTAGCATTATCCACAGTGGTGCAAAATACTTTCTTTATGCCCCATTTAACCAAGCACTCTAGAAGACAGTTACAAATTGTTTCACCCTTATGATCAGAAACATTCTTAAATCCTATAATCATCTTCCTTAACCTCCACGACTAGTTAATGACTACCACGACAACACACACAAGAGTCACAAATTTATGACGGATACACTTAGTCGAAAAATAGTCATTGTGATACCCCAATTTGCGGAGAGGTTATGAATTAATTTGGCCACATATGTCACAAAAGTGCACTTATATTTTCGGACAAGAGTCCTGAGAGAACTCCACAATTAAACGTGCTTATGCTCGAATAGTCAAAGGATGAGTGACCTTCTGGGAAGTTGTTTACGGAACTATGTGAGTGAGGCCAAAACACAGAAAAATATCATGTGGTAATTTGTAGGGTCGGTAAACAAGTCTTTAAGCCTCTCGGACGTAGCAAACGGTTGTTGGATATTGATGAGCTTATGGGCCTAGTGAGAGGACCAGAGGCCCATTAAAAGAGGTGGGCCCATCTCATAGTGAATAAGGCCCACTGGGTGAGGTCATGGTATCAGAGCAGAATCCAAACAAGTGTGGAGTGGTGAGCTCACACTGTCAAGGAGTGATGATCATTGTGCGCAATGAGGACGTTGCCGTCTGTCAGTGGGGGAGAATTGTGAGACCCTAATTTGCGGAGAGGTTTAAAAAAAATTATTTGGCCACCAGGGAAAGATCATGTGGTGATTTGTTGGGTCGGTAAACAACTCATTAAGCCTCCCGGACGTAGGAAACCGGCCGTCGAATATTGATGAGCCCATGGGCCTAGTGAGAGGACGTGAAGCCCATTAAGAGAGGTGAACCTATAAACAGAGAGTGAACATAGGACCCACTGGAGATGTGACAGTATGGGTATTACAGTCATAAATAAGCGAATATTTTCATATTGCTTTGCAACCTAAAAGAAATATGGATTATATTTGCCGAATTTTATCTATCGTCAAAAGAGTCTTAATCTTACGACTACTTTGCCTCAATTAAGCAACTCCTTATTTTTAAAATTTACATTTTGACATTATCAAATGATTAATATGTTGACTTAACCATATTTTCATTGATTTGGACTACTGCATATATATATTTTTCCTAAAAAATTTAATTTTACTTATTTTAGACAAAACCTTAACAACTGAATCTTTTACCTCTTAAAATGAAAGTTATAATTCAAACTTGGACTATAAGTGCTGGTAAATGCTTATTACTAATGTATTTAGATCTCAACGTCAAGAAATCCAGAATATTCGTTGTGAATCATAAATGTGAATCACAAAAGAGTCACTTTTGTGACGAAATGACAACTGAAAAATGATACGACTACGATGCTATTCTTTTGCGACTTATTTGCTACGACTTTTGCGACTATTTTGCATCTATTTAGCAACTCCTCGGATTTAAAAATTGCAATTTAAGAACATAAAATGACCAACATGTTAAATATTATTACCAATTTTTTCTATGAGATAATTATAAAGGAAGGCATTATTCGGACTCTAACTTCGCAATTAGGCATTCGAAGCCCGAGGGCCTTAAAAAAAAAATCAAATCCAACTGTTGCTGACATTTCAGCTCCTAATGTAATCGCCGTTTAAGTAGATGACATCAACATACTTAGGTTAGACGAAGATATTTTCATTGTGAGCGGGAAACCGTACACGGTGACGAACAGTACTTGATGCCAATCATGTGGACAAAAATTAAGCCACCGATTTCTGTTTTAGGTTATTTAGGGTTTATGGACTAATTTAAATAAGAGATGAATGAAGAACAGTGCAGTGGAA